CTCTCTCTCTCTCTCTCTCTCTCTCTCTCTCTCTCTCTCTCTCTCTCTCTCTCTCTCTCTCTCTCTCTCTCGCCTCTCCTTCCCTCGTTCGAACTCTAGATCTCCACCTTTCTCTTTCTCACACACTCTCTCTCGAGTTCTCCCTCCCCTTCCCCCCTCTCTCTCTCTCCTTCTCTCCCTCTCTCTCCACCCTCTGACGAAGCCGCGCGTGGCATGCGGCAGAAAGGCCTCAGGGAAATGCCACTCCCTCCTGTGGATCTGCTGCTGGTTCTCTCGCCTCTGAGCGGTAACAGGGCCGATTGGCTGGGTGCAGGATTATCTTTCTTTCCTCTTTCTCTCCACTTCTCTTTGCTAAGCGACCTTGGCTCCACGATTGTTGTAACTGATAAACTCTTTTCAACTCGTGAGGAAAAACACTGCCTATATCATGTGTGGATTTCTGCTTATTCTGTGTCAATTTTTCGTAAGGATTCCCCCTTTTCTCCCCCCCTTTTTTTCGTGTGTGTCAATTTTTCGTAAGGTGCTTTGCTATTCCTTGCTTAGTACGACCAGGATGAATGGACTCTCGCACCATGGATTCTGAGGGGTATAAACGTTGTGGCAAGCAACTGAGAGTTTTTTTTCGAAGGAGGTTAATTAGTTCCTTGTTGCATGTTTTTCAGGAACACAGACGCCTACCAACCTCTGTGATGCACCCTGCCTAATCCTTGACTTTATGCATGGTCCTTGCACGAGAATGAGTTCTCTGTTTTGTTTCACGATCAGGAAGGACGAAACCACTGATGATCGAATTTTATTTTTATTTTTATTTTTATTTTTATTTTTATTCTTATTTTAGGACGCAAGTACCCGAGGATCTGACAAGATCTATCACTATGATTCGTGCTTTGAGAAACGCCTGATTAAGGATAGACCTTTCTTCCGATCAAAAAGAAAAGGCCGATGATGATCGAATCTTATTTCAATTTTTTATTTTATGCTTGAGCCCGAGGACGTGGTAACCCAAGGATCTGGCAGAAGCGCGTGTGCCGAGCTTTGTCAGATCCATGGGATTATGTTCTCTGACTAATCCTTGTGTCCATTCAGTAGATCCCCCAGAAGTATCGCCTCGGTCATCTACCCGCCTGCGAGCCATCCCCCATAGGAAATTGCGATGAGGGAGGGTAATCACAGTTGCGTCTTAATTTTTGGATCTTCTTCCTTCTGCCGTCTTTTTTCTTCTTTTTTTTCTTCCTTTGAGCAACGGATCAGGATTGATTGGGACACCCCTATCTACATCCACGATTACCCAAACTCCGTTGTCGACGATAGCCAATACTCTTTCGCGTATGATAGATATGACTGCTGTAGACTAGACTCGTCTGACGACTAACTAGGACTCCGAGCCTGAAAGCATGCTCATTACCTGGGCACGATACCATAAGCCATGGGTCTGATTGAGTCCACCGCTGCTGGACCTATCAACCCCTTGGGTTATGACAACTTTGCCTTACTGACTGTGCGGTTCAAAAAGGCCATAATGAAAACCACATGTGGCAGTTTACGTAGTACTTCTCTCTGAACATCTTTCCCTCTGAGAGAATCGACGAATCGAGATCTTACATGAACGGACATCTCACTCCTTTAAGGGAAAGCTCTCTCCTCTCTTTAGAACTGAGATCGCGTGTGGAGCCGACCTCCCGGCATCAGACCTCCTCGTGATCCCCTAAGCATAGGCACATCCAATTCTCTGCTGACTGATTGCTCCCCCCCCACACCAATTGACGGACCGTGCCCCCCAAAAAAACGGGGAGCATTGGACTATGAGTATTCGAGTACACTGACCTCCCCTTCAAAACGATGGACTATCTATCAAACGAAAAAACCTACTGACGATGTAACCCGAGTTGCGAGACCCCCTGCATCTCTCTCTCCCCCTTCCCAAAACATAAACAAGTAGTATGGAGGCATGAGATACGAGATCTACTCATTGAACAATCCCAAGCCTCGGACGTCGACAAGCAAACCTGTTTGGACACTTACTAGCACTTGGGTTAGTTATGGAACAGCAGCAAAAGATTCATGAGACGCCAGTTCTCTCGAAGATCCAAGTAGATGTTTTTTTCGCCACAAGGGATGGGATCTATCATACTTGCGGTTTGTTCCTAAGCTAGAGGTGCGCCGGTGACTTGTCATCGAGGCAGTATACCTGACATAGTGTAACTTGCCATGGAGTGCGTAAAGCACACACATCAAAACACACACACATACACACACGTGTAGCACGTATATTTCCATGTCCTAGCGGATCGATTTTGCTGATCCCATCACTGCATGTAGCATGTGGCCAGCCGAGGGGTTGGAGACTTACCCGTTCGCCTGTGAGTCCATGGAAAACTCTCTCTCTCTCTCTCTCTCTCTCTCTCTCTCTCTCTCTCTCTCTCTCTCTCTCTCTCTCTCTCTCTC